TGGTGCCCATAATTCAAGAAGGAGATCAGACTAGATAATGACAATGGTCCCTTCTGGCCTTGGCATCTATGAATTTTCACAGGAAGGGGTTTATTTTGGCTGATATCTCATTCCTGAGGGTCACAAAGACAGAGCTCCCGGCTGCAGTTGGCATCCCAAAGCTGCCCAGATGTGTGTGCTGCCAGCCTGTTTATGTCAATGGTACAAGCTGAATTCACCACAGTGTGGCATGGGAAAGTTTCCTATCTCAGGGGAAGAAATTAAGCTGCCACCCCTAGAAATCTTTGGGAGAGGATGGCAGAGTATTTCCATGAAAGTTATCAAGATTTCTCAAGAGGATAGAAGAGAAATCCTATTCTGATAAACAGAGTACTCTGCATGGCAAACAGTCTAGCCCAACAAGCCAAAGAATTGAAAAGCTGATGTGTCGCCAACTCTACCTCGGTTAGTTCTACCCCTACTTGAGCACAGAACGCTATTCTGATAGGGACTGTGTAACTGAAATACCATAAAACCCTTCTTAGGATTTATTCCCTAACATAATACAAGTAAGCAACAAAAAGTCAATACTTTTGTCAAATACAGGAGAGAAGCAGGGAGCGAGATAAGGTTTTAGAGAAGGAAAAGTAGAAAAACAAAACAAAAAAACACACGCAAGGAATAATGCACGTAAACACTTACCCAAGCTCCCTTCCCCTTCTCCTCAGCGGGCTCATCTGTACTTGTCTGGCAGGACTGGCTATTCTTCTGCAGAGTTTCAAACTGGTTCTGGAACATTGTTTGAGTCCCCCACCGTGTTTCCTCTCTTCTCTTCCGCCATGCTGTTCATGGCAGGAGCATCTATCTCTGGCACCTCCAAGGTATCCAAACTTGTCTGCAAGGTGCTGGTTGGGATTCTACCAAGTATGGCAAGGAGTTCATTGTAAAAGTGGCAGGTCTGCAGGGCAGCAGCAGATTTCTTGTTGCCCTCCTTCGCTTTGTGGTATGTTTGGCATAGTTCCTTCACTTTCATGTGGCACTGCTGTTGATCCCTGTAATGCCCCTTTGCCGCTGGCCCTCTGCTTCCTGCTGCTCCCATTGGCAAACTACGGCCACTGGGAGCTGCGGGGGGCCGTGCCTGCAGACAGTCAACGTCAGCAAAATGTCTCACCACTCACAATCAGATTACCTAGATGGGCTGCAGGTTGCCCACCACTGGGCCAGAGGTTGATGAACTAATGACAGCAATCAACCCATCTTCTGGGAACAGTTAAAGGACAGAAAGGAAGTGAAAAGGGAAGGCTGGCAAGAGCCGCAGGGTAGAGGATCTCACGATAAAGTCTTGCCTCTCCATTCCCAGAGAATGGACTATTGGGGAAGTTTACATTCAATTGTACGTTGCTGCACAAGGGACTGTACTGGTGAAGTGGTAGAGGAGACCTAATAGATAACACACTGGTACTTGTAAACTCGGAAGTGTCCAAACTGTTTGTGGTGATCCAAAGGGCGAGAAGGGGGCCTGTTACAGTGCCCCTAACAAAATACAATAAGGTGACCAACCAGATACAACCTATCCCCAGTGGCTGTTACAGATAGACTGGTCACCAGGTCAGACAAAGATATAGAGGAGGGAAAAAGGCACTTTAATGTCTTTTTTTTTTTTAAATAAATAGAGCATTTATAATTTGAACTATGTAGCAAATATAGTCAAATTGCTATTTTTTCCTCTTTTTATATTTTGGCACTACCTCAACCTAGAAAAGTAAGTGTATGAATATATTTAAATGTTTTCCACCAAAGAAAGTACCATACAAATAAACACACAATTTCCCCTGATTATTGTTTCTGAATTATTTTAACAATTAGAAGTCACTTAAAAAGATATATTTTATTAAACATTACACAGTGCAAGTGTAAGTTCTGTCACATTCCTTTATCATTCTACTAGATAAACATTTTTTACCTACTACTAATTCATTTAGTCTCTAAATACAATATCATGTATCTGGCAACCTAGCATTATAAGCAGTAGACTAATCTTAGAAAACAAACTACACATATAAATGGTACAGGAGAACTTTAAAGCCTTAAGGCTTGTCTATACGGTCAGGGGCGGCTCTGGCTTTTTGGCCGCCCCAAGCAAAAGAAAAAAACCAAAACAAAAAAAACGGGTGGCCAGAACGGCAAAAGCAAAAAAAAAAAAAAAACCTAAAGCGACGCAGCTGGAGCGCGGGTGCCGGCTTGGGGGGGGCGTGGGGGAGGAAGCGGGCAGGAGAGAGAGAGAGAAGGGGGCGGCCAGGGCTACAGCAGGGGTGCTGCCACGCGGCCCTTCCCGCTGCGCCACCTCCTGCCGCCTGCCACGAGGGCTCCGCTCCGGTCGGCGGGGAGGGAAGAAAGAGGACTGCCCTGCAGGGCGCTCTGGTTCTCCGCGCCACCACCCCCTACAGGGCGGCCGGAGCAGCAAAAAAAAAAAAAGCAGCCTAGGATTGGGCAGAATGCCGCCTCGAACAATCTGCCGCCCCAAGCACCAGCTTGCTCAGCTGGTGCCTGGAGCCGGCCCTGTATACGGTACTTTAAACTGCACCAGAGGGATGTAAATTTTAGCCTGCACTAACATGTTGTGCACTGCTGGCATGCACTAAAAGCTCCCTAGCACATGTTAATGTAGTCCCATTTCAAACAGTACTGTATTAATGTGCTCTAGGGAACTTTTAGTGCATACTAGCAGGATCCACATGGGACAGTCAGTGTGTGACATGCAAGTGAAAACTAAAATTTTCACCTCTCTGGTGCATACTAAAGCACTGTGTAGACAAGGACTCAGTGGTATATAACCGGATTTTGTGAATGAATCAACTATCCTAAACCCAACAGCCTTTTACCCTACAATAACATTTACTGAAAACTAGTCAAATCTGTTCTTAAAGGAACACTATTTGGCCCCAATACTCCAGTGTGCTACGGCAGCTTTGCATTGCCCTGGCAGCACAGAGAAGCCCTAAAGCTGATGTACCTAGACATAGGATTCTTCGGTAGCATAGAGGAATCTTCAAGTGGTATGAAGCTAACATAGCAGAGCTCCTATGTTACCTCATCCCCTGGTTGCTGCCATAAGGGGTATGGCTACGATATCCTTGTACCCAGCTGACTGCAGGAGGGCATTGGCAGCCGGCATAGTTTAAAACAGCCTTTAAGCTTCTCTAATTTATGATGAGGATTGGCTGTTCCCCTCCCCTCTGCACTTCCAGAAGTGGGTCATTGTTGTTGTAATACAGGTGGTGCTGGCCATGCTCCCTTCTCCAGCTTCCCGCCAGATAATTAATTACAAAGCTGTGTAAAAACTATTAGAATTAACTGAATACCAACCAGTGACCTAGGCTAATGAGCCCACAAACGATAGTCATAAAAAAATTAAACATTTAATTTTTTTGGCTATTGAAGACATAGCAGGGGGTGGGGGCAATTGCTGGAGATGCTGCTAGCAGAAAGGACATTACTGGGCAAGAATTTCCCATTGTGCGGCCCACTATCTCCTACATTGAGATGTCTGGGAAGTAGTGAGCAGTGAAAATAAGTAGGGAGGGATAAAGAACCAGATCGTTTACTTTCAAAGGGAGAGGTCTTCCAGGTAGTACATCAAGTCATCTAGATATCTGGCTAGTTTTACAACAAGCTATATAAAAAACACTTGTAAAGTCAGTATAAGCTAAAATTTCATACAACTCCAACTCCAAAATGAATTGAAATAGAACAGTCAAAGGAAATGTTCAGGAATAAAGCAAACCACCTCTAGCTGCTGTTATACAGTATATAGAGGCAGAATATATGGAGCAGTATATAAAGGCAAAAATTCTAGTGGCAAACTGGAGAAGCAGTCATGGCCACTTCAGGCTGTGCTGCAATGTGGCACCACCTCCAGAACAGCTCAGACATCTCAGAATTGTGGGAGATGCTGGGCTGCAGAAATAAAATAAACTTCAATAACTCACTTAACGGATAAGAGAGAGACGTGTACACCCAGTTGAGTACATTTATTAAAATATTCCTGTAGTTAAAAGAATGTCAAGCAATTCAGTTCATAGCTTGCAAAAATAATTGTTTTGGTTCTTTTAGAAGAGGCAGTTTTTGTCATCATTTCCATACTTGCTTTCAAAATATCAAAACTATTAAAAATTCAGTGTTGACTAAAACTGGCTACACATTATATTACCTGGCAGGTAGGATACAGTAAGCCAACAAAATATAGAGCCATGCAGGAAGCCTTCTGTGATAAAAACTGCCTCGGTTCGGGGCTTACAATGCTAATGTACAAGGTCTACATGACAGGACAAATGATGATGAATTCAAACTGAGTATGGACTATGAAATTTATTTATGCAAAGTGATGGGAGAATAAGATGGAGAACTCCGTTTGAGAAGTGCCTAGTCTAGAGTATGTCTGCACTATGGCAACTATACCCGCATAGATACAGTCCCATAGCTATGCTGGCATAACCCCATAGTGTAGATGCAGCCTTCACCAATGGAGGGGGTTTTTCCATTGGTGTAAGGACATTGTCTCCCTGAACAACAGTAGCTAGGTCAATGGAAGCATTCTTCCTTCAGCTTAGCTGTGTCTACATTGGGGGTTGAGTCGACATAGCGATGGCACTCAGGAATGTGGATATTTTCACACCCCTGACTGATGTAGCTGTATGTCAACCTAAATTGTAAGTGTAGATCAGGCCCTAGTTGAAAAACCCTCCAATCCTGCAACTGACTCAATGTGGGTGCAAGCAATGTGACCAGTTAGGTATTGCAGCCGTAAGCGCATTCAGACAGAATGTCAGTAATACATTTAATCATAAGTAGAAATAGAAACATGGTTTCCAATTATGTAGATATCATTAGTTTATTTAAGACTTTATGCCATACACTTACAACAGCAAAACAAAAGCATTCAGTTCACAGTTTGAGTTAGGATCTAGCAACGTTAAGACCTTCTATATTATAAAGAAAAAAGTCAAAGGAAGAGTCCTCACCTGTAACTATGCCATAGTTAGGAGGTTCTATAACGGCTCCATAGAACTGAATGACGTTTTTGTGACTGAGCACACTGAGTATTTCTGCCTGTTCAAAAACCAAAAGAAAAAGTTTGACAATTAATAATAAAATGTATTTGCTGCAATACTATATATCAGACTCCATGCACAAACCACACATCATATATGAATCAGAAAAATAATGTCCACTTGGGGTATTCTCCTTAGAAAACCTACCTGTTTCAAAACACTGAGAGAGAGTTTGGAAAATGCAGAGTTCTCAGCACTTCTGAAAATCAGGCCATTTTTTTAAATGCCTAAATAAGGATTTAGGAGACTAGTTTTTTTTAAAAAAACTTGGTCAAAAAAGATTTTGGGATTTTTGTTTGTTTTTGTTTTACAATGGTGTGTTTAATTTTTGGGCCTCTCAACATTTGCAGCTCTATAGTATATTCCAATAGTAATAATAATAAATACTAATAAAATGTTTATTTTAAAAAATAGTCAATGATTTAAAAAAAAAACATGTTATTGTTTTACACACACACTCTAGAAGTGGGGGGTTATAGAATGCAAACACAGCCATACTATACATTATCCCCCACAAAAATGCCTTCCTTGAAATATTACATTAACCTCTGAGCTTCTACTAGCTAGATCAGTCACAAGCATTGGAAGGAAACAAAGTCATGGTCAGTAAAGCAGTCAGCCCCACTGAGTAATAATACATAAAAAAAATAAGGGACCTTGGCAAGCTTTATTACAGCAGCTACAACCACCCTAACAAATATAAAGCCACTGGCAAAACAAACCTAATTTGTCTCTAGCTTTTGTACTGAGTGCCATGGTATGAATATACACGTGCATGTGGAAGCCTATAGATGTGTAATAAGTAAACATTTCACATGGTTACAATAGTTTTTCTCTTGCAGCCTTTTCCAAATAACTTCATCAAGGTTTGAATTAGCACCTTTAGCTGGTGTGCTATGGTTTGCATATGCTGAATGAAAAAGTTGAATCATAGCCTTGAACTTAACCCCAAGATTTCTGATTGCACAGTGTACTATGTTGTTTCCCCTGCTCAATGAGATTTGAGTTATTATCACAAATGAACAGAGTGTAATGCACAAACAACTTCCATAGGATATAGAATTTATATTCTACAGGTGTGGTACATGCATTTCATGTTTGTGTGATACATGGAGAGTTTCAAAATTCTTTTTCAACGTTCTGTCCCTCCACAGCATAATTAAATAATTTTGATTTTTTAAAACGTCTCATTATGTTTTCATCAGAGGTGCAAAATCATATTTGAGGCTTTTGTAAGGTTATTGTGAATTTCAATGCTGGAGGACCTGATTCACCTAGATGGGTGCAAGGGCATTTAATTTGCACCTACCTAAGCAACTGTGCCAGAGGTGCGATTCACCACCAACAAAGGACAGACGGTTATATTCCTGCTATCCCCGGAGGGAATCTGCCAGTGGGCTGGAGCTTTGAACTCCAACCACAGGCCCACAGATACCCTGCCAGCAGCTGTTAAAAGATTCCGACTAATATTCCTATATTGCCTGCCTGAAAATTAGATCTCAGTCCCTCAATCCTAACAATATCATGAAAAGTGAGATGAACAAATCCAAGTCTCTTAATTCAGGCCCAACACAAATGAAACCATCTAGGATTCTTTTGTTTTGTTCAACACCCCAGTGCCCTGAAAAAACAAACTCACTCTTCTTGTGTGACCACCTGAAAACTCATGTCCTCTTCACCTAGAAATATGATGCTACAATTAAAAAATACGTCCACACACCATGGCTTGTGTTATTTTTTTCATGCTAAACTTCCCCAGGGTCATGCTTTTAGGCTCTAAATATACCAAGAATTTAACTGAGAACCATTAAAACGTATTAAAATCATGTGATGAAACGATTTTCAATTTCACTGCAAGAAAGGCCCAAAGCAGGTGCTTTGTACTTTAAGCTCCGATCCTGTAATAGCTCACAAGCAAGAGGAATGTTGTGCCAATTCAGAGCCCCACTGAAGTCAATTGAATCTATAACTGCACTATCAATTGCAGGATCAGAATCTAAGGGTATGTCTACACTGCAATTAGACACCCGTGACTGGCTCATGCCAGCTGGCTCGGGCTGTGGGGCTGGTCCCAGAGCTTATGCTCCTGCCCAAGCCTTGAAGTCTACATTGCAATGAAACAGCCCCAAAGCCCGAGCCCCACAAGCCCAAGTCAGCTAACATGGGCCAGCCGTGGCTGTCTAATTGCAGCATAAACATACTCTAAGAGTTCACGTCAAACCATCAACTCAGATGATGTAGAGCATACTACCATACATTATTTACAATGTAGTAACAAATACACTTTGGTCCATTCAGGGCAGTTACAGGCATTAATGTACCCATTGCTTTTAATGCATTTTTTTCTTGATCTTATGCTGCTGTTCACATCTCTTAATTAAGATGTAACTGATGCCATAGCAAGCTTGTATCTAGGACTGGGGGAAGAAGCTATTAATCATCCATAAAATCTCCCAAATTAGGAGGTCATAAAAAACATCTCCCCCTGAGGACCATTATTCCTAGAGAGAAATCTTTTCTAGGCCTCTTTTAAATCAATCACACTGCTGTCTTTAGAGCTGGAGATTCCAGCCAGTTCCTTTCACTTCTTGCTCTTTTCCATGGCTCAGCTGTGGATTACATTAGCCAATTTGCAGCAGGGACCAAGCAAACAGCCAGTCATCTTTATCAATGCAGTTGTGCTTTGAAAATCTTTTCTCCCCTTCTGACATGGATGTTCCAGGTTCTAAGTGAAAACTTGTAGATAGTCACTAGTTGACTAAATAGCTAAGGACCAGATTTTCAAAGTTATTTAGTTGCCTAAACACAGACAGGTGTCTAGTGGGATTTTCAAAATCATCTGGGCCCTTATGAAAATCCCCCTAGGCACCTATCTGCAACTTTAGGCACCTAAACACCTTTGGAAAACTGGGCCTAACTGACTCAGTCATACACAGCCTTGACACACTGTTGAACTACAATTTGACATGCAGGACAACCACAAGTGGCATCTAATTTACTGATGATACCCCACACTCAGTCATAGGATAAGTCCTTGGCTAGTCACAAGGTAATAGCAATCATCACATCACATTACCAACCACTCATCACACAATATTCTAAAACAGTTCTGGATGAACCTGAGCACTTGCTGATCTCGGTTAACAATATGTATTCCACTGAAGCGCAGATTGGACAGCATTGGGGGGGGGGGAGGCGGAAGAGGGGGGTGAATCAGAAAACCAAACCAAACTACTTTGCTATGTTTGAAAACTAAACCATTGACAAGAAATTAGAAGACAAAGCAAAGTACATTAAAATACATATTTTAATTAAATTAATGCTCATGAAGTGTGGTCAGTGTGGCAGCACTACAACATGAAGTCCTGTCTTTACTCAGAAGACACGCAGAGTGCAGGCAGCAGGAGTGCAAGCTACCTCCATGCACCCTGACATCGTGCCCAACCTTGACCTCTCAGAATCATCTCTCCTGCTGAAAGGATAGTTTAATCTTTATGTCCATTTGCCAATGAAAGTATCAGTGAACACCAACTGTCATGGTGGCTAGTGTGCTCTGGAGATCTGTAAACTAGGAACTGAACAGAGACCTCATCACAGATGCCTCTAAACACCATCTATTAGGTTTTTATTAGTGTTGTGCTTTGTATTCTAGTGCAAATACATAAGCATCAATATGAATTCCCTGTGTTCTTTGCCATCAGTATTAGAGGCCCCTGAGCCTTGGTTATACTTATGAACACCCCCAATACAATACTGCATTTACTGACCACCAATCAGTATACCTCTGCCTGTGCTGACCCTTGAGTGTAGACAAGGCAAGCCAGGGCCTGCACTGCTTGAACTTATCAGGATATATACCAAATACATGTAAAGATAAATTCCAATTGGCTCAGGATATGTCTACACTTAAACCACTGCAGCTGCGCTGCTGTAGTGCAGTGGTCATCAAACCGTTGATTGCGATCAACTGGTCGATCCTGGAGCCTCTGCCAGTTGGTCACGATCTCCAGGCCACTAAAAGTCCAGTGGCGCAGCATGGGTCAGGCAGGATTCCTGCCTGCCCTGACCCCACGCCGCTCCCGAAAGCAGCTGGCTGCTGGCACGTCTCTGCGGCCCCTGGGAGGAAGGAAAGGGGGGGAGGCGGCTTTGCACTCTGCCCCCACTCCCAGCATTGTCCCCGCAGCTCCCACTGGCCAGGAACCGGGGGCAGTGCTTGTGAGACCCACTGCTAGGGTGACCAGATTTTTAGGTATTTGTCCCACGTACCGACCGATCTGTGGTCAGGACACAATTTGTCCCGATATTTGGATCCGTCGGCAGTTGTGGGTTTTTTTGCTCCGTCGGCAGACCCCCCCCGCCCCCCATGTCCTAATATTTTCTTCCTCTCATTTGGTCACCCTACCCACTGCCCCCCTCCGCTCCAGGGGCCGCAGAGACATACCAGCAGCCAGCCGCTTCCAGGAGTGGCGTGGGGCGAGGGCAGGCAGGTAGCCTGGCTGAGCCCCACTGCACCGCCGCCTGGGAGTCACCTGTGGTAAAACATCTCCTGGCCAGATCCTGCCCGGAGCTTCCTCCTGCACCCCAACCCCCTGCCCCAGCCCACACCCCTCACCCTCTCCTGTACCCCAACACTCTGCCCCAGCCCGAAGCCCCTTCCTGCACCCAAACTCCCTCCCAGAGCCCACACCCTTCACCCTCTTGTGCACCCAACACTCTGCCCCAGCCCAGAGCCCCCTCCTGCACCAAATTCCCTCCCAGAGCTTGCACTCCTCACTCTCTCCTGCCTGAGCCCTGCTGTGCCGCTGGTCGGGATCCGCCTGTGGTAAGTGCCTCCCGGCCGGAGCCTGCACCTCATACCCCTCCTGCACTCCAACCCCCTGCCCAAGATCAGAATCCCCTCCAAGACCCTGCACCTCTCACCCTCTCCTGCACCCCAACACTATGCCTCAGCCTGGAGTCCTCTCCTGCACCCAAACTCCCTCCCAGAGCTTGCACCCC